AACCATCCTTGGAACAACGGTTCACCATGCTTCTTAATAAATCATTGCTCCACTACTACTCAATAACTTAGAGATCTAGATATAATATATGAGCTAGGCTTATCCTGCCGGTCAGCTCACCTGCACAGCTTGCAGGTGACCGTTTTGCAGAGTTGAGTGCCTCCCTGTATGCCTCATCCAAACAAAAAAACTATCACATGGCCCACTTAGGGTAAAACATAGTGCAGAATACATCGAATTCAACTTTAGATTTGTGTCGAAGTGACGTTTCAGATGTTAACCGAATGACATGGGCTGTACTGGGCTCCACGGAGACCTGTTTTAACCGTCCAAATGAAACTCACGCTGCGCTGGTTCGCTGGGCGCATGATTACTCACGCCGACAATAAGGACTTATCAATACGTAGATTCCCGTCAAAAACTCCTTGTCCTGTTACTTTTGGGAAGTCGATGGGCTGGTCCCCCTGTGTTTCTTGGCTGCCACTGCAATGCTACACGTACAGGGTGATTCGCTCATCCCTAACAAGACCTTAGCAAAAAAATGAAGGCATGTTAGGCCATACTGCAGTGTTAAAGGCAACCGTTAGGCAGTCAGGAGGCCGCAGGCAAGGCGAAAAGCTGCCACTGCTTCCTTGAAGGTCCTGCACGTCTCTTGGATCACGCCAAGGATGGAGAATTACAAGAAGTTAAAGAAGATCGGATCTGGGTCTCAGGGAGAATGTTACCTTGCTCAGGATACCAAAACTGGTGCGCTCATAAATCACCGAACGCAACAAGTTTCTTGATGTATGCCTCGTAATATGGTACTACTGCGCATTGATCCTGCAGTGTACCGTCAGAGGTGACGGTGCATTTCACCGGTGAAGGCATACGGGACTTCTGGGGTGATCTGAACCGGAACAGGGTCGGCACGCAGCAAAAATAACCGTGAACACTTGGAACTTCACCTGCTGAAGCGATACACTGCTTCAAGCCTCCCCTTAGTGTCTGACTGGCCAATGCTTCCTTTCACGGAATAGGGCTCTTGTTTTTTTTTACAGATAAAATGTGTGTGATCAAAGAAGTCGATCTTGGACCTCTAACGCCCCAGGAAAAGCAGGAAGCTTGGAATGAAACACGCATTTTGCAGAACTTGGAGCCTTATCCTAATGTTATTGATTACTTGGATGCGCACCTCGACGCAGAAGGAGAAAAGCTGTCCCTAGTCATTGAATACGCAGACAATGGAGACCTTGCTACACAGGTTCTTTGCAGGAAGTCCTTGCTTGACGAGCAAAACGATGGCTATGAGGCAGCACGCCAGGCGCCCCCAGGAAGCCACAGGAACCTTAGTGATACTCCGTTTTTCCAGGAAAAGCACATCATGCTCGTCTTCGTGCAATGCTTATTCGGGTTACATCATTTACACAAGAACAGCATCATGCACCGAGATATTAAGACTCACAACATTCTTCTATTTAGCAATGGCCTAGTAAAGCTGGGGGACTTCGGGGTTGCCAAAAGCTTCAAGCGTACAAAAGTTCGCAAGTCTTACGTGGGCTCGCCACTTTACATGGCTCCTGAAATCCATTCCAGCAAGGGCTANCAAAAGTTCGCAAGTCTTACGTGGGCTCGCCACTTTACATGGCTCCTGAAATCCATTCCAGCAAGGGCTACACATACAAGGCAGATATATGGTCGCTTGGATGTGTCCTTCACGAGCTCTGCTGCCTGAAGCACCCGTACACTGGTATGCCTACTTTGCCTCCAGCAACGTGTGCCGTGAATAGGAAAAAGCAACTTCCTGAATGACACGGCTGGGTATCAACCAGAGCATGCGTCAAGCGCGCAACTGAAACAGCTTAAAAAGGCTAGTTGTTCGCTGTCTGCCCATTAACGCAGGGAATAATGTAATACAACTTGCTATGGAGGTTACCAATGCTCCTCCACCAACTTACTTGGAGGTGCCACCTCGAACTTATGCTGTGGATCTACTGCATCTGATTAATCGCATGCTGCAAAAAGATCCAGAGCTACGTCCCAGTACTGCTGAGATAATTCGCATGCCCTTTGTCTACAAGTATTCAGAATCACTTGCAAACAGGTTGGGATCACTAGAAACAAGACGCTGGAAACACTTCTGCTGCGAGCGTATGCTAAGTGATCTGCAGCGCTGACCG